CTTGGACCAGAAAAGAAATATCAGGAGCAATCCTATTGCTTGTCGAGAGCTGTTCTCTCTAACAGCACCCATTGGTGGGTGCCCGGGGAAGCCTCGGTGCAAGAGAAGCAGGTAGGCTACTTCTGCCGAGTAGCCACTCCTGTGTCCCAAGCCGTGTTACTTGGCTACATCAGGCTGTGGGGGAAGGGAATTGAGCATCAAGTGTAGAACAGATTCGAGAGGTGGCTGGAGGCCATGTGCGTATCCGTGGGGAGACTTTGGGCATCATTGGACTAGGCCGAGTTGGACAGGCAGTGGCTGTGCGAGCCAAGTCCTTTGGCTTCAACGTGATTTTCTATGATCCCTATCTGCCGGATGGAGTGGAGCGATCCTTGGGTTTACAACGAGTAGGAACCCTGCAGGATCTACTAATGCACAGCGATTGCATCACATTGCACCGCAGCCTGAACGAACATAACCATCACCTCATCAATGACTTCACTATTAAACAGATGCGCCAGGGCTGCTTCTTAGTGAACACAGCCCGCGGAGGGCTGGTAGATGAGAAAGCCTCAGCACAAGCCTTGAAAGAGGGGAGAATCAGAGGAACAGCATTGGCCGTACATGAGTCTGAGCCTTTCAGCTTTGCTCAGGGGCCCTTAAAAGATGCACCCAATGGGATCTGTACCCCTCACACCGCCTGGTACAGTGAGCAGGCTTCCATTGAATCCAGAGCAGGTGCAGCTAAAGAGATCCGCAGAGCTATTACAGGTCACATACCTGATGCTTTGAGGAACTGTGTTAATAAGGAGTACCTGCTGTTAGCAGCTCAGTGGTCCAGTATTGATCCTGCAACTGTCCACCCAGAACTCAGTGGAGCTGCAGCTTACAGGTTTCCTCCAGGAGTAGTGGGAGTAGCCACGCCTGGGCTACCAGAACCGCCAGTAGTGGAAGGGATCGTAGCTCATGGGATCCCTCCTGTTTCTCACCATGCACCGCGTACCCCTTCCCCAGGAGACACGAGCAAACTGGATGCAGACAGAGAGATTCCTGCTGACCAATAGCAGCATCTTTCTCTCCTCTGGCAGCAGAAAAAAGCAGGGGGGTATCTCCTCCTAGGACCTTCTTTAACACCCGACAGAGACTGTTTCCTGTTCATACAGGACGGGAGAATGCATTTCATTACCGGCAAACTTCAGCTCTTGCCTTTATTTTGTAACCCTTTTGTTTTAATCTCTCAGTGAATCTTTCTCCTTCTCTGAGGCAGGGCAGCAGTGACCTTGCCTCCCCTCAGAAATACTTGGTTTAACAAATGAGTTTTTCAGTATATCTGCCTCGGTTGTCTGTGAAAGGGAACTGTCCTTGTGCACTTGAGAATAGAAGTGGAGCTGCCTGATCAGGGATGGCCCTCAGTGTTCCTAACACTGGCCTTCAGTGCACACTTTTCAGTTGTGACTTGCAGCTTAAGTTTCATTTGTCTGAATGTCTCTAAGTAGCCATGGGGAATATTAGAAAAGCATTAGTGAATTGGAGAAGTTGTGACTAATGTCTTTATTATGCCCTTGGTGGAATGCAGCCTAGGCTGAGCTCTGTATATTACTTCGCTTGTTTTAATTCAGGTTTCCTGTGAGAACAGACGCAGCACAGGCATTGCTAGTTCTTGACCCTACAGAGTTTTGTCTGTGCGATACTAGACCGGGACTAGACCTGAAGTTGAAAGTAAGTCTCAAAGCCAGCCGTGTAAATAATTTGGAAGGGGTTAAAATGTCGTCAAATGTGTTCTGGTGGCCACCGTGTTTGTGAGGCTTCAGAATAGTTCACCCTGGAGTCCCTTCGTAACTCGGAGATGGCAAGAGAATGCAGAAATAGGAAAAACTTGCACTGGGAGACAGCAGGTAGCAATAACTTGCAGCTGCAGTTGCTGGTTCCTCACACACTTGTACCTCACAGTCTAGTGGTGGTGTTTATCCACAAGGATATGTTAGAATTCTAAGGTTTGTGCTACCTTATTTTGGGGGTTTTTTGCATAACTGCATCAACTAGAAGTAACGTATCACTTGTCTCTGTGCTGATGGAGAAGGCAGCTTTTAACTGTTGACCAAATTTCTCTACTTTTGCTCTGTTAGCATACTGTATCGCCAGTAGTGGGCAGGGCAAGACAGTGTTTTTTACATGAGTAAGTTTTGTAATACTAGAGGAGAAAGAACACTCTTAGCTTGTCACCTGAAGCCAAGGATGGATTGTTGCTCATGTCTATCCCCATTTCCCAAGTGGTTTATTATGAATCACTTCTTTGAGGGGTATGGAGTCTTCAGGAAAACAGGTTGCACAGGAGATGTTTCCTTAATTCAAAATCTTCCTTTAGTTTCATCTTGTTGCACTTTAGTTATCGCCTCTCCATGTACAAGATGTAACAATTCCTGATTGATTTGTTCATGCTGTGTGAGTATACTGCAGTAGGAGCTATATGAGAAGCCTACCCTATGTGTGGGTTTGCCTGCTTCCCATGATCCTTCCCTCTGTTGTGTGTCTGTGACTAGAAGCTGAACAGCTGGGAACAGACTGGAAATACACCTTGAGGTGTGGACAAATGTCGCTGTTTAGGCGTTTTACAGTTTGGGAAGCTGAGGAAAGCTTTCAGAATCACTTAAGTTTTCAGATTTTTTTCCTGGTTTTAAATTTTTCTCCAATACTGCCTTCATATAATGGCTTACTACTGAAAGAGTGAAGTGATTAATTCCGTTCTCTGCTGCGTGCCCCTCACCCCCCTCCCCCCAGCACTTCAAGAAGCAAAAAAGGCAAGAAGTAAACTTCAGGTGTTTTCTTACAGATTTTACACTTTAACTGTTTAGCATTAGTGAGAAGATACTAGTTCTCTAGTGCTGAGTGTCTTTTTTGATAAGGTATTTGTCTCGGTGAAGGTTCTTGGCTTCTGTGTTTTCATGGATGATGCTGATTCTACTTAAAGTTCATATACCTCCTTTGCTGCTCAGGTTTAGCAGATCAGACTGGGACTGGTCGTAGGCACAAGTTATAGGAGAACTTTTTCTGAACAAGAGCCTAGAGCTCAGAAACACGTTGATTGCAGCTGTACCTAAAATAACCAGCAGCACTTTTCTAAATTCTCTAATCTCTAGGAAATAGGAATTTTACAAGATACTAGCTCAGAAAGCTGTTCTTCTGACAGGAAGATGGGGGAAAAGATTTTTTTCCAGCAACTGAGAGCTCATCTTCTGTCTATTGCCACATTAGGGAAGCAGTCTGTCAATAACTACTCTTTCCTTATTTGCTGCTGAGAATTCCTGCCCTGCTTAGAGGTTCGGGTCTGAGATTATTCTGTGGTAAGGGGCTCCTAGTTATGAGTCCTGTGAATACAGAGGATCAGAGTACATTGACCTTGTCTCTTCTAGAGCACAATGCCGATAGATTTATTTTTTAAGAGGCAGCAATTTTTTTTTCTTCTTACCTGTAAGCATCTCTATAGACCAGTCAAATAACTGAGCAGAGGAGGAGTGGAAAGCTCTCATCTGGGGGACACTTTGCTTGCATCAAGCTGCGTCCCGTCTCTCAATCGCGGCATGGTAGTTTTGGGGATGGTGGAAGTAAAGGGCATATGTGCGCCACCTTAGGTACTGTTGGATTCAGGCAGGATATTTTTGTAGTGGTGAAGAAAGAGAACTTTGGGAAAGAACTGGCAATTGATTGCTTGAGGGTAGAATTGTTCCAAGAAAGAGAGAGGCGGCGGTACGGAATATCGCTTGCCGCGCCGGTGGACCCCAGCCACCACAGACCTCTTATTAGAGGGTCCCGCATGTTTTAAAGGCACCTGTGCAGTCCCTGAGGGAAAGGGTGCAAAGAGCTGTTGGTCTGACCAGCCAAGCCCTCCGACCCCCTGTATGTGTACTAATGTGGGCAGAAATGCTCTGTGATGGGGTTTTGGGGTCTGTGAGACGGGATGGACTGAGCCGGGTGCTGGCGTGGTCAGAAATGGGAAGTTTCAGAAATGTAGTGGGAAAGTCCACCCCGAGCAGCCTCCTGGTAGGGGGCCTGACCTGCCCGGGATAGGTCCAGCCCATCTTATGATTTGGGAAGGAATGGTCCTTGGCAGGAGGGTTGGCATTGGGGGCACCCCAGCAATGTTACCTGGGCAATCCAGAGATAACATTCAGAAACTGGTGGAATTGCTGGAGGGGAAATTGGAGGACAAAGGGAAATGGCAGGAATCCTGCTCCCTCCCTGGGGAAGGGAACTGTAACCCTTTTGTGACATGAGGAGGGGAACTAAGAAGTTAAAAACTAGAAGCTGCTGTTTGGGGTTTGGGCCGCCCACTTCGCATGTGAGTTTTTATTGATGGTTTGTTGGTAAGGAGCTTTATAGACATATTCTTGTGGGTCCCAGACAGATAAGTTTCTAATTTTGAATTGTTTCAGGGGCCGAAATTAGTGTTTTAAATAGTCAATAAACTACTGAGTTAAGATTGAGATTATCAAGGAAGTTTATAAATATACTAGGTGCGATGGGGTTATGGAAAAATATCCCATAGTGCAAGCGTAGGTTTGGTTATCAGGGGAAAAGGAGGATGAGAGCTGTGGAGGTGGCATTAAGACCTTATAAGGGAAATATATTGGGGTTTGTGTTATTAGGGAAACAGCGGTGTTTACAGGATGGTGGGGGTGGAGTTTTGAAGGTGCTGGGACAAGGGTGTCTTATGCAAGTTTTTTTCAGGTTGTTCTTTTATTATTATAATTTTAAGATAAGCGTGTTTCTCAATATTCATAGCTAACAATTGTTAAATGGGGTATTTAGTGGTAATTAGTGATCTTGAGAAAAGAGATCCTAAATTGCATCTATTACATTTATAATTTTCTAGTTTGGCCGGACCGTAAGATGGATGGTTGGTGGTAGCTAACTGTTGATTACTGGAGATTGAAAAGCAATATCCCCCTTTAACAGCTACTGTCCTGAATAGAGCATCAATAATAACAGCAATACAGGCAGCTGCTAATATGTGGGTGCCTGCTTTTGAAGTTAAAAATATAGGGGGGGGGGGTTATGATTCCCTTAAAAGATGAGGATGAGCCTCAGTTTGCCTTCACTTGTTAAAGGACGTAAAATAATCTAACTCAGCCTTGCAGACACATCCCCTCCCTCCCCTGGGTTCTTGCACAGCCAAGGAAGCTCCCTGCACCGGAGTGTCTTGCACAGCACAGAGGTACAAGGCACTGTCAGAGACCTCAACTTCCTCCAGCTTCAGGACACTGGATTTCCCTGCGGTGTTCAGCAACGTGGTGAAACGGCCGCTCTGCTTGGAGCCAGCTGCTGCCTGGTAGGAGACCAGCTGGGGGCCTTGGCCTTTCCTCTGCTGGTACCAGAGCAGGGCATAAAGTTAGAGACCTGTATGTGCAGGTGGTTTGGAAGGTGTCTCTCTGCTTCAGCGTGACTTGCCCTTCTTGCTGGGTGACGGTGGTCTGCCCCACGGTGCCTGGAAGAAATCAAAGGTCAGTGACTGTGCAGGGAAAGTCTCCCAAATGCAAAACGAGAGGGGATGCAAAGTGTCAGATGAGAAGGCTCCTCGTGGCCTTCTCTCAGCCAGAGCCCCGTGGGTGGGAACAGCAAACTGTTGAGGGTCTTTGGGCAGGAGGTCTGAGACCTCAGCTCAGCGTGGATTCCACAGCACAATAATGCCCATTACTTCCCACAGGGATACCCCCAGAGAGAGCTGTGCTTTCACCCCGGTCTTCCATCCTGACTCTCCTGCTGCCGCAGTCTCCAGGGAAGAGCCTGTAGTGCCTGGCCCTCCTGTGCTGGGTCCAAACACCCCCAGCAGGGTGAGGCACCAGGGAACTCCTGCAAGATGTTGCATCCTCTTCCCCATTGCCTGTCCTCTCAAAAGGCTCCGTGGTCCAGGAAGGGAAAAGGAAGCCCTGGCAGCGCAGACACGCAGGAGGAATGGATAGCCAGGGCATGCTGCCTGGCATGTGCCAGCCAGGAGAGAGACTGGGACATCCTGAGAACAGGAGTGGGATGAGGGAGCTTTCATGTCCCTGCATCAGCTTTCAAAAGTCCTGCGCCCTTGGGCTGCAAAGGCAGACAATGTGTAGTGCAGAGAGAGGAGAGCTTCTGCAGTGATCCGTCTGTGAAACACTGAGCCCAGCCAGGTCAGCAGAGAGAGGCAGAGAGCTGGGCAGCTGGCAAGAGAAAGGAAGGGCAGGGGTCCGAGATGATCGGGAGAGCAGCTGTTTCTTCTCGGTCTCAGCCTGTGCTTGCCAGCAGTAAGAGCACCTTGAGAAAGCCGGTGCAAAGCCACCCTTGTGATCTGATGCTTCCCAACGTTTGCCCAGAGTTGAAGAGCAGCTCCCTGCAGAGAGCTGTGCAGGGGGGGGGTGTCCGGGGGAGAAGAGGAGGCCTGGGGACAGTCAAAGCCAATGCTTACCCAGTGGTTTCCCCAGGCATGCAGCCAGGATGAGATACTCGAGGTGCGTGCTGAGACCCATCCTCCTGCAAGTGGGAGAGAAACAAACCCCCTCCACGTCCCCACCAAGAGCCGCGAGAGAGCCGAGCTGCCGGAAATGACTCTGCAAGGGGAACAAAGAATGAACCGGGGAGGAGAAAACGCTTGTTCTTAGCACGCCCGAAATGCCTGTGCTCTGCTCTTCTCTCCTCCAGCAGTGACACGGGTTGCTCCTGCAAAAAACACCTTCTGCCATTCCAGGGTGAGGGCTGTAAGGGGGATAGGCCTGCACTCAAGCAGCTTGAAATCTCCTACTGATGCCACCTGCTAATTAATATTCGTTGTCTGTTGAAGAGCGGGTGTTGATTTCTTCAGGCAACTTTCTAGGGCCAGCTTCCTCTCCGGTGTCCCAGCCTCAGCATTTGCAGCTGCAGGGCATCTGGCGCAGCCCAGACACACAACCCTTTGCTGCCATGTGAGCGTGGCAGGGCGGCACCTCTCCCTCTGCTGAACTGGAACTGGTCCCAGACCTCCACAACCGCCCTACGCTCATCCCCAGGGACGGGCTGGCTCTTGTCAGACTCACTCGGGGATTATTTTGATTTGAAGGTGGAGAAGCCCTGGGGCGGCAGCGCTAGGGATGGGCTCTAGCTTTGACTTTGTCTCTCAAGAACAGACTGAATTTCCAAAAAAGACCATGCAGCTTGGCCCCGGCACACCTTCTCACTCTCCTGTCATCAGAACACAAACCGTTGAACTACTTCTGTCCAAGCCACAAAGGCCCGAAAGCCCTCTGCTGCCGTCCAGTCTAACAGGGATGGCCGGCGCCTCATTTCCCTTCTCAGCACCGGGCTGCCAAGGGCTTGCCTGAAGCTGTCGGGGGCACCGAGGCAGAGAGCTGGCTGCTGGAGTCCTGGTTCTCAGAGCACGGGGAGAGGCTCTGCTTCCTCCTGTGCATCTGCTCTGTCTGCGCCCGTGGGAGGATTTGTTTCCCGGGTGTTTGCATTTGTGTGTGCTTTTGCAAATGCACTTGTGAGCGTCAGTGTCTGCTGGTGTGTGTGAGCAAGTACATTTCTGTGTGTCCCACAGAACTTCAGAACCTGCCTCAAACATCCCAAATCCTCCTCTCACACTTGTCATATCTTTTCCTTTCTAAAACTCAGGCTGACCCGCTTCAAAGCTTCACCTGCAGTTCCCTGATGGCCCATCGAGCAGAGGCTGAAGAGCTCTGCCCTCCCTCCTCCTCTCCCTCATCACTTACGCAGAGACTGGGCTCACCGGGTGCCTCCTTTATCACTTTCCCTTTTGCCCGTCCTCCCCTGTGCAAGCAGAGGGCACTTGGTCAGACAGCCTCAGTGAACCATCCGCTCTGACCTTCCACCCGCCCTGACAGTGACCTCTGGTGAAGTTCCTCAGGTGAGCCAGTTCCTCACCATGCTGAAAGGCTCCTGTCCCCAGAGAACACTGGGTCCCTGAGTCCAGGCTCTGGGGGGAAACCCCATGGTGAGCTCAGTCTTTGAAGTGTCTCCCTGCGACACCTGCAGCAACACTAAGCCATGGCTTTCACTTTCCAGGACGCCTGAGAAGTTACAAAATGAAGGAAACGGGAAAGACAGGTTGAATGCGTGCTCAGTTTCCGATGGAAGGTGAGTGTAAAAATACACTCAGGTCACTTGAAATGTCATTCTGGAAGGAGCTCGTCCACGCTCCCTATTCCAACATATTTATTCTTTGCTCTCCCTGATGTCCTGCATTTCCTACCAGGTCCTGCATACACCCTCACAGGCCTTTGTGTACAGCTGAGCATGAGGACAGACCTGAAGGCCACCTCCAGGTGGGATCCAAATCTTATCATTCTTTCCCCATCCAGCACGAAATGGACTTCTCATCCACCTTTCAGTACCTCGCAGAGGTATTTTTCCCCAGGGCCAGAGGCTGAGCTTTCTTTCTCACCTCAGAAGACCTCACTGCCAACAGCCACTGTCACGGCTTACTGAGCTGACACCACTCCAGGAATTGGAACATGTTGGCCTGCCACCATGGCTGCTCTTGTCAGCCTCCCCCACAGCTTCCCCACTCCAGGGACAGCTCTTTGCTTTCCAAGACAGACCGAGCATAGCAAGAGACGTGTGCACAGAGGGACAAACTAGATCCCAGAAATGCCCAGCCCAGAACTGCAGCCACTAGCAGGTTTCTGTTGGGCACAGAACCCCCAGGGACTCAGGGACACAGGGGCACCCCCACGGCCAAGCACTGGTGAGTGCCCAGAGCTGGAGGAGAGACCTGAGAAGCAGAGGACAGCTCGAGAGATTCAACAGGGAATCTGGTCCGGGGTCTGGTTGATGGGTCCCGCTCACAAGTTGAGGCTGTCACTGATCCCCAGAGGCAGGGCTAGGAGGACATTTGCCTCCCTTGGGTGTCTCTTGGCCAGCAGGGAAAGCCACGGGAACAGCCATGTCTCCTGCCAAGAGCCCCCTCCTCCAACAGGGATTGTTGGTGGCCACCGAGGGAAGAGGAAGAGCACGACAAGCACCTGGGATCCTTCTCCTGAACACTCCCGGCTGGGTCCCGCTCAGTTGCAGCAGCTCAGGATTGTTCCCGAGTCGGCTGTGGCAATGAAGCCTCGTGGCAAGGAAGGCCAACAGCATCCTGGGCCGCAGCAGGAGGAACATCACCGGCACGACAAGGGACCTGACTCTTCCTCTCTACTCAGCGCTGCTGAGGCCACCTCTGGAGTGCTGGCTCCAGTTCTGGGCTCCTCAGTCCAAGAAAGAGATCTGAATGAGCCCAGCAAAATGCTGCAGGACCGCAGCATCGTTCCTATGAGGACAGGCTGAGAGGGCTGGCAGTGGTCAGCCTGGGGAAGAGAAGGCTCGAGGGGGAACTTGCCAGCGTGTGTAAATACCTGACAGTACGGAATGAAGAAGAGACTCTGCTCAGTCAGGCACCCTTGGGACTGCACCCCTCTGCCATGAGGAGGCTCTGGAGGAAGAGAAGTTGAGGTTGTTGAAATGCCCAGCCCAAGGAAAGACCTAAAATTCTGACACGTACTGTGTTCCAGACTTGCGAGTGCCACAGGAAGGTTTTTTAGAATTGGGATTTTCATCTTTGGGTGGCCAGGCCACAGTTGGGTTTCTGACAGCCCTCCAAGTCAGAAGGTGCTGGAGCACCCCCTCAGACACACATATCCTGGTATAGAAGTGCTGCCTCTCAGCTCCAGGTCTCATTGCCAAAGGGGCCATGGGGAACCTGAAAGTTCAGGCAGGAGCCTGAAGGAGGAGATCAAAGGGACTTTGGTCAGGGAATAGGAGCTGCAGGCTGTTTTCCTGATTTTTCTTCCTCCTGGGGATCACAACCAGCCCAAGAAGAAAGGCAGGAGTGTCCATGGTGAACTTCTGCCATCCAGTGCCCAGCCAGAGACAGGGACCTGCACCCGCCTCTCTCGGGGTTGGAGACAGACCCTCTGCAGCCCCCAATGTACTCCTTGTTCCCTGGTAGAGTCTGAAGGGATGCAGAACCAGGAACATGCAAAGGCACCAGGAAGCAGGAGTCTGACTCCCTATCCCCAGAGGCATTTCTCTCTCCCTTCTCTGGGGCCATGGCTGATGCTCTTCAAGGGAACCAGCAGTGGGAAGAGCTCCTGCAGTGAACATCCACCCAGAGTCACCCCTGTTGGGCACGAAGACATCCAGCACAACCCTCTGCTTCACAGACATCTCCTCCCCATCCCTTCAGGCATCACAGTCATCCTCTTTGTGTAGCAATGACTGAACCCTGTAGGGTGAGAGCAGAATATCACATTATGAACTTGTTTCTGAGTGCATGAGGTTTAGACTTCTTACATGCTCCACTGGAAAAGTATCTGGGGGTTGTGCAGACATGGGATGCTGAGGGGAAGGAGCACAGACAAGCAGAGGGAAGGATCAAGGCAGCTTGTTTGGGAGCGAGTATGGGAAGACAGATGGAGGCAGGGATGAGAGCAGCTGATTGCGTGTGAACACGTGTCTGATCCGTGTGCTGGCCTGGCCACGCCTGTGGCTCTGCCTTGTTTGTGCACCTGCCAGCAGTTCCCTGCAAACCCAGTGATGAAGTCCAGCTGGGGCAGGGAGCGCGGCTGAGCCTTCCCTCTGTGCCTCGGAAGCCCCTGACCATGGGCTTGGAACTGCTCTGGCAGCTCCTCGAGCCACACAGGGCTCCATGGGGAGCGGCCGGAGCCCACAGTCCCTTCCCAGAGGCCTCCTTCCAGCTCCTTGGGCAACGCAGCAAATCTGTTGCCGACTCACTAATGAGGGAGGAACCTGGCATCCCTTGAGGCTGTGGTCAGGGTGCTCTATCGGGCTTATAGGGAAAGGTTTTGGTAGAAGAGGGGCTGCAGGTGTGGCTGCTGTGAGAAAATGCCAGAAGCTGTGCCAATGTCGGGTAGAGGTGGGACCTGCCGGCTCCCAAATGTTCCACGAGGACTGTCTCCCATGGGAGGGACCCCAGGGCGCAGCAGGGGAAGGGCGTGAGGAGGAAGGAGCCGCAGAGACAACGGGGGAGGAACGGGAGCCAACCCCGCTTTGCCATCCCCCTGGGCCACTCGTTGGGAGGAGGCAGAGAATTGGGGAGCGGAGCTGGGCCTGAGAAGAAGGGCAGGGCGGGGGGAAGGGCTCGCAAGGTTTGGGGTTCAGCTCCCCTTCTCCCGCTCGGATTTGATGGGCCCGAAATTGCCGGGGCCCGGGGCCGGGCGGGGCCGGGCGGGGCCGGGCGGGGCCGGCGGGGCGAGGCGGCCCCGGCGGGTGGAGCGGCAGCGCCCCCTGGCGGCCCCGCCCGGGGCTGTCCCCGCCCCCGGCCCCGCCCCCGCCCCCCCCGCCCGGCCCCGCCCGCGGCGGTTCGTGCCCGGCCGCAGCCCCGGCTCCTCTCCCCGTGTCTCCTCGGGCGCAGTAATACACCGCCGCGTCCCTGCGCCGGGGCCGGGCGAGCCACAGGGCGCTGGACCGGCGGTCTGCCGCCACCGACAGCCGCCCCGGCGGCTCCCGCACATCCTTGCTGCCTTTAAGGCCAACAAGGAGTGCTGGGCCCCGGCCCGGGAGCTGACGGTACCAGTAAATGAATCGTGAGCTGCATGTTGGGGTGCGAGCAGTTGATGCTGATGCCGGTGCCCTCGGTGGTCTCTGCCGACGGCTCCTGCTGCACCTGGGCTCTGCCCACAGCCACTGCCGAGAAAACAGAAGGAAAGTGTAAAGGTCTCCAAAGATCACCCAGCTCTGATGGCTCCTTCACCCTCTCCTTA